CAAAAAAGTCAGGCCATGCATGCTTAAGGAATACTCACTGAAAAATCATGAATGCTGATAGAAAAACCCTCCCTCACCTTGATGCTACTACAATGAAGATACAATGTAGGTAAAAACACTGTCTTCATAAGGTATTGGCCACCAGGTCAACAAAAACAGCCGCCCTACAGAGGGCATGTTAAACAGAGAACCACTCTATCTCTGAAGTAAATCCTTTCCTGCTTTGGCAATTGAAGGTTTGGAGTTTTATAGGGGAAGGGGAATCTTCCAAAAGCCCTCTTTTTTTCTTTTTTTCTTTTTTTTTTTTTTTAAGATTTTTACTTCTCTTATTTTATTTTCTTTTAACCTTTAAGTTCATGAGTACAAGTGCAGATTTGTTACACAGGTAAACTTGTGTCTTGGGGCTTTGTTGTACAGATTATTTCAGCACCCAGGTATTAAGCCTAGTACCCATTAGCTATTTTTCCTGATCCTCTGCCTCCTCCCATCCTTCACCCTCTGGTAGGCCCCAGTATCTGTTGTTCCCTGCTATGTATCCATGTGTTTTTATCATTTAGCTCCCACTTATAAGTGAGAATGTGCGGTATTTGGTTTTCTGCTCCTTTGCTAGTTTGCTAAGGATAACGGCCTCCAGCTCCATGCACATCCCTGCAAGGGATATGATCTCGTTCTCCAAAAGCCCTACTCTTATTCCCTACAGGGAAATAAGATCTTCCCTACTTCATAGGAAACATAGCACATTACTTATACCAGTCCTCCTAAGTCTTCATTTGTAAACATAATCGAACTATCAGAATAGCCAGATATTACAGGAAAACAAGAACTTGGTTTCTCTGTCTCCACCAAAATGAACAAATAGGACCAATCCAAGAAGAAGCTGAGGTATCTCAAGAAAAATTTTAGAAAAGAAGATTTTTAAATCCCAACTAACAATAGAAAAATACAACATCAATAAAAATTACACTATATTGTTTTGGGAAGAAGTAGGACATAGTAAAATTAGAATTATGTAAGTAAAAATTTCAGAGGATTGTCTGAAAAATCAGAGGATAACGATAATTATCTTGTAGATGAAAAAATTACATTTCTTAAAATGTAGATCACACAGGAAAAGACATCATAAATAGGGGAAAAGGATAGAGACTTGAGGGAGATTCATGGAGGCCAAGGTGCATTCAGTAGAATTCCATAAGAAGAAATCAGAGATAATGAAAGAAAGGGAAACCATTGAAAGAAATATTAGAAGAAAATTAGCTTTTGCTGAAGAAATACAGGAACCTTCTGATTGATTGAAAGACACATCAATCAAGCATTGGGCAGGATAGATGTTTAAAAAGTAATAAAGCTCTTGATGCAATTTCAAGATGAAGAGGCAATTCTAAAAGCTTCTAAAGAGTTAAAATACGTTACCCAAAATGAAGAATCAGACTAACACCTGACATTTCACCAGAAGCACTAAAACCCTTGAGAACAATAATGCAAAGCATATTTGTGTGTATATGTTTTAGAAAGACATCTGGAAAAATATACATCAAACCTTTGGGAGTTGAGGGAGAAGACTCGCTTTTTACTTTCTACCTTGCTGTTGTTTTAATTTGTAAGATCATCTTTTATTACTTTTATAACTAAATTCTTTTAAAACCTCTTTCCCTTCTAATTAATTCTATCCATGGACAGAATTAATTAGAAGGCAAAGAGACTAGACGCTGTTACCTCAATTAGAATGTTATTATAACGGTCGCTGGCAAGAAACCGAGATGGGAAGAACCTACAGTAATAGAAATGAGGGGCCTGAATCAAGGAATGTTTTGAAGATATTTTTCATGATTTGGTGAGTTATTGAAATCAAGAATAAAGGAGAAAAACAATAAAGGTGATTCCTACAAGCCTGAATGACTAGATGACTAGATACACAATTATGCCATTCAGATGAGAAAGACCAAAGGAGGGACAGATTTCTGTCAGATGTTAGGGAGAAGTCCATACAATGTTTACACTACAGACTTGAGTCTGAGGTATAGGAAGAGCATTCATATAAAGGGTCTTGCCTGTGGTCTGAAATGGCGGCTGGAGCTTGGGAGACATGTTGACTGAGAGATAGCTGGGCTGTGGGGTGAGCAGACAAGAAAGAAAAGGACTCATGATAGATCCATGTGCAGAGCCTACACTAGGGGAAGCTGAGGGAAGAGAAGCCAGTGCCGCAGGAGAAGGAGTGTTCATACGGAAAGGAGGATCTGGAGAGATCAACGTCACAGCTAGAGGAGGACATTTGCTCTAAAAAGGAGAAGGATTTGCCACATTGAAGAAGACAAGAAGGAAGAATTGAAATGCAGGTTTTTGACAACTAACAATGTCATCTCTTCTTCAGGAATTTCAGGTTAATAAATATTTGAATGGCCAAATAATCTTGTATAATATACTATGGTTCATTAAGCTGTTCTCATATGGGCATCTCTTCGTTACCAAGGGGCTTTTAACATATTAAGCAAGGCAAAGGTAGAAGACCTCTTGCAAGGCTGCACTTTATCTAGATTTCTGGAGAAAACATGGAGTCAAGGAGTCCACCCCTTAGAGATGAGTCTCCAGAATTCCAAGCTGAGGTCAATTCCTGAACCAGGAATACTAAGTTCAAGGAAAAGATGGGCTGAAGTCAGGACACAGAGGTGAGACCAAAGCCCCAGGAGGAAGACCACAGCCAGAGACCAGACAGGGAAGACAAAAACACCGGCAGCAAACACGTTCATCTGAGAATCAGTCAGAGGACATATTAACAGTGGCACTATGAGGCTAATACCTCCTTGCCCTTCAATCATTTCTTGTCTGCCTTATTAGGGAAATGAATTGTTATCTGATATTTCCCACAGAAGAAAGTGTTAATCATTTATATTCTCAAGATCTATGACCTATAAAATATGCATATGGAGAAGATTGATACTTTTCTAATATGTATTATGATGAAAGAGAACTATTCATTTCAAATGGTATAATAGGGGAAGTGGTTCCTTCATCATTTTTGGCTTTTGTATCTTCCATTGAACACATTTTCTCTTCTGAACTTCTCCAGTACATATTGCTAATAGCCCATGTCTGCTTCTAATCATTTATTATCTCCATACTGTCATCTTTTCAACCACATACATTGTATCTTTCCCTCTGTAGTCATGACAGCCACAGGGGCACCAATTCTTATTCTCCTTTGAATCCTCTATAGCTACTAGAACAGTGTACATAATAGGTTATCTCATACTAATTGGCTGTCATTTATCACATTACCCAAAGAAAATGACTACTGAGGATTATTCCGAATACAACCTCCATATCTGCATCTGTGGATTCAACCAACCTCAGATTGAAAATATTTGAAAAAATAATAGTGTCTGTACTGAACATTTACAGACCTTTTTTCTTGTGATTATTCCTTAATAATACAGTGTAGCAACTATTTACATAGCAGTCATATCAGGCATTTTGAGTAATCTGGAGGTGATTTAAGGTATACTGGAGGATGTGCATAAGGTTTTATGTAAATACTACATCATTTTATATCAGGAACTTGAGCATCTCTGAATTTTGGTATCCAAGGGAGGTCCTGGAACCACTCCCCCACAGATACGGAGGAATGACTATATTATTTCCTTATATAGGTCTTTACACTTCTTAAAGTATTTTAAGGTACATAAGATCTCTTGATTTTCACAAGAATTAAGTGGTTTAAATGGGAGAGAGGGTGGATTACCACTTAATAACTGAGTAAACTGAGCTTCAGATAATTCAATGATTTTCCAAAAGATTCAGTATTCAAACTACAGTCTACATTTCTTAATTCTTAATTGGGTTCACCTTCTACCATCAGAAGCTCTATTAATTTTCTGTAATTGAGATTCAGATAACTGAACCCACATATCCTAGGCCAGTGGTTCTTATGTGGTGGTGGCTGGGGCTAGGGGAAGACTTCAGGGGTGTATGCGTACACCGCTTTCCAAGAAGAGGTTGGAAACGTGCAGAGTTATCATATGGTGGGTATCACAATGGCTGAAAAGTGATTGTGGCATTTAGTAGGATGGGGTGTTTAACACCTTGCAATACTGAAGCTACCATGGTGAGAACTGTTCCATTTGAATACCCATTGCACCCCTATTAAGAAACTCAGCAAGTTTAGGCAAATAAAGGGAGCTATAGCCACCTCTACAAATATCTGACCAATAGTCCTCCTTTATGCTATCTGTATCAAAAATCTATAAAAGTTCAGAATTCTTAACCATTATTCTTAAAATGAAATAAGGTAGACATTATCAATGGCAGGTTTCCAAAAATTAGTCTTACAGGAGGTAACTCAGCAAAAGCAGGAATTTAGCACACAATCCAGGCTCATATTCTTTGTATATAAAAATACAACTATTACATCATCGCATTAAAAATCACATAAGCAACGTGGTGTGTAATTTACAAGACTTAAAGAACTCTCAGTATCTTGGTGCCGGTTAGAGACTTCACTGAATACATTTTAACTTATACTCCTTTATTTGTTTTGATAAAAAAGAGTCAAACAGAATGGTCTGGAATCTTAAGGTTAAAAGCTTTCTGTTCCCCTTGGTTCAGGTGTTCATTTTAATAATCTAATTATGCCAGATCTATGACACCTACTACTCAGGACTCTCCCAAAAGACCCCTGACTTCTGATGTTCCACTTCTGCCTGTCCTTTAATTCAAATAGATTCCTGTTGTCCTTCCAGCAAAACAAAACAAAACGAAATGACATGCTACAGAAGGCTTTCTTCTCAGTTTGCAAAAACCCTGTAACAAGATTTTCCCTCTGCTTAGGATAAAGGTCTCTGGGCACCTAAGGCATTAAGCCACAGATCATGGGCCTCCTGCATTATTAGTTTCCTGGGATTACCTTTTAAAACATTCTAGCATTTGTATTTGACCGTGTTCACACTGCTATAAAGAACTGTCTGAGATTAGGTAATTTATAAAGGAAAGAGGTTTAATTGACTCACAGTTGGAGAGGTCTCAGGAAAACTAACAATTATGGTCGAAGGCAAAGGGGAAGCAAGACACCTCCTCCGCCAGGCAGCGCAAGGCAGGAAGACGTGCCAAGCAAACAGGGGAAGAGCCCCTTATAAAACCATCAGATCTCGTGAGAACTCACTCATTATCACGAGACCAGCATGGGGAAACCGCCCCCACGATTCAATTACCTTCAGCTGGTCTCTCCCTTGACACGTGGGGATTACGGAGATTATGGGATTAAAATTCAAGATGAGATTTAGGTGGAGACACAAAGCCTAACCATATCAGCATTGAAAAGGTTTTCTTTTCTTTTTTTTTTTTTTTTTTGAGACTGAGTCTCGCTCTGTCACCCAGGCTGGAGTGCCATGGCGCGATCTCGGCTCACTGCAAGCTCCACCTCCCGGGTTCACGCCATTCTCCTGCCTCAGCGTCAGGAGTAGCTGGGACTACAGGCGCCCGCCACCTCGCCCGGCTAGTTTTTTTTGTATATTTTTTGGTAGAGACGAGGTTTCACAGTGTTTGCCAGGATGGTCTCGATATCCGACCTTATAATCCGCCGTCTCGGTCTTCCAAAATGCTGGGATTACAGGCCTGAGCCACCGCGCCCGACCGAAAAGGTTTTCTAAGGTTTAGTGCTTTCCAATTATCTTTACTACAGATACACTTCTAAAAGGATATGCCTTTCCAATTTCATTAAGTTGTTTATGTTAATTTTATTAAGTTGAGAACATAGGACTGAGGAAATAATTTGGGCACAAAAAACAGCTCTTACCTGTAACCCTTTCAAGTGCAAACTGTGATGACAAATAAATGCTTTACTCACTCAATAACTAATAACATATTTTTGGTTACACAAACATGCCGCTAAAAAAAATCGTATTTTCAATGATTGAAGGAATTATTCTACATAATTTTCACTTAGCAGGTCTAAGAATGTATTGATTTGTTTTCTGCTCATCTGGTATACTGGAGCAAATTGTTTAGCTGTGATGCTTTACAAAGTGCCATGTATCACTTTGTATCTCCAATTAAATTTCAATTAAGAAATCTTGTAAATATCTTATATCAACCAGCCAAGACCAGAAATTCCTCATATTGAATCATACTTACACTACTAATGAGACTGTCAAGGTTTGGCTTTATGTTTACCTCAGATAGGCGTCCAAAAACTGTGATGGTTGTCCAAACTCTCCGAACATCTTGAGTCTGCACAATTTGGCTGGCAGTCTTGTGGGAAGAAGTTTTTTTTCTGCATGAGCCATAGTGTCTGCTTCGAGTACTGGCTCAAAGTCAGACTACAAAGGCAGACAAAAATGAGAGGGAAATTTTTATCTAAGTAGTTCAAAGCTTCAAAATGGATGAAAGGTTCAGGAGAAGGGAAAGTTTATTTTCTTTAAAACCAGTTCAACATAATTTATGCCTATTGCCACATTCACATTTAACCTGTTACTATAGTAATAAATTGAATTCTATCCCCCTTCAGGTGAAAATAACCAGTAAGGAAACTTTCTGTGAGATATTTTATATTCTTGGATCTTTTCCCTGTTTTTTAACACACGAGAGTGGCAATACCAAAACAAGCTGTGTTTTTATTTGAATTGTGCTTATACATACGCATCATAAGTATATACTGAAGTATTTGCTTAAGCAAGTAGGGTATTAAGTAGGATTTTAAAAATAAGTAGAAGCAAAATGGGAATGATAATTGAAAATGTATAGAATTATAAAATGTGCCTCATGATTCGAAGTATAGATCCAGTGAATTATTCTGAGTAAGTAAACAATCCACTTCCTTTTTTCTATCTGGAACCTAATAAAGTGCTTTAAAGCCCTTGCCCTTAAAATGAAAAGGTAAGTATACAAAGAGAATTGAAAGATTTAATCGAATGAGAAATTGCTTAATAGAAGTCCTACAGTCATGACATTCCAAGTTCAGAACAATTTGTTTTAAATTTAAATAAAATTAAATAAAATTAAATTTTATTTTATAATAATTTAAATAAAATAAAATAAATAAATTAAATTTTATTTTAAATAAATTTAAAAATAAAATAAAATAAATAAAATTAAATTTTATTTTAAATAAATTTAAAATAGAATAAAATAAATAAATTTTATTAAATAAATTTTAAATAAAATTAAATTAAATTAATTTTATTTTAAATAAATTTTAAATAAAATAAAATAAAATTAAATTTTATTTTAAATAAATTTAAATAAAATAAATAAAATTAAATTTTATTTTAAATAATTTTAAATAAAATAATAAATAAAATTCAGTTGATTTTAGCCATAGACCTTGTTTTTCAAATGACCTTATGATTCAGTTATTATACCTGCACTCATTCTGCGACAGTTCATTCCAGAAGAGACACAATCGTACAAAGCTGAACATAAACAATAAATTTTGGTTTCTTATTGAATTTTAAATTACATTGGGAATGCTTTTGGAATAATTCCAGATCTTAGGGGAAAAAACATCTCCCAATTCTAAAGTCCCAGGTTCCATCTCAACTTTTCACGTTCACAGGCAGAGACTCCAAAAATAAATTACAGGCAAGCTTAAAAGATCAGAAAGCCTTTCCCATTGTGCGAGTGGGTGACTCAACACAATTTGCTTCTGTTACAGTCATTGTGTCCTTTCTCTAGGATTCTTTCTGTTTCCTAAACACGTATGTTTCGAAGTTTTGGATGCTACGACTTTATGTTCATGTGGTTCAGAATTTAGCCCTCCCCCAGCCCCAAAAAGGCTGATCACAGATTTAGATAAATTTATAGTGTGTAATAAAACTAGCTCATAGAATTATACTTTGAAATGTTTAAGAACATTGTGAGTACCTACTACCTGAGGGATTAATTTTAACGGCACGCCTTATTTTGTTTCATCCTCACTACACCTGTGCTATCCCATTTTACAAATAAGGAAAACTGAGACTTAGAGAAATTAAGTAACTTTTCCATAATTTGTCAGCTAGGAAATGATACAATCTGAGTTGAGATCTAAGTTTTCAGACCCCAAGGTCAGGGGTTTCAGCTTTAAAAATTATGATTCCTGCCCCGGGCCGCGGTGGTTCACGCCTGTAATTCCAGCACTTTGGGAGGCTGAGGCCAGGGGATAACAAGGGTCAGGAGTTCGAGACCAGCCTGGCTAACATGGAGAAACCTCATTTCTACTAAAAATACAAAATTAGCCACCGCCTGGTGGTGCGCCCCTGTAATCCCAGCTACTCAGGAGGCTGAGGGAGGAAAATTGCTTGAACCTGGGAGGCGGAGGTTGCAGTGAGATGCGATGGCACCACTGACTCTGTCTCAAAAAATAAAAATAAATAATAAATAGGATTCATTGGAAAGCCTAAAGGTTATGCAAAGGTGTCTCACAATTTCTTTTCATAGTTAATTTATGAAAAATGCAACCACAGTCTCATCATCTAAAGCTCAAAATTATCTTTTTCATCCCCGTTGGTACCCTGTTGATTCTTCCAAACTAAAACACAGCTACATATAATTCAGATTTATTATACTTTATTTTTTTAATAATTTCAACTTTTAGATTCAGGGGGTACACGTGCAGGTTTGTTACATGGGTATATTGCATGGTGCTGAGGCTTGGGGTACAATTGATTGATCCAGTCACCCGGGTATTCAGCATAGTACCCGAGAGTTAGTTTCTCGCCCCCTGCCCTTCTCCCTCCCTTCCCCGCTTCTAGTAATCCCCAGTGTCTACTGTTGCCATCTTCATGTCCATGTCATACTTTTTTTATGATGTAAACCAACTATAGTGTAGTCCAAGACTTTAAAGGCATCTGAAGCTGAAAAAGAACGTTAATTATGGCACCGTATTATAACCAGGTCATCCCAGTCTGTGCTGCGACATAAGCCCTAGCGATTTTCTCATTAGCAGATGCTCTAGCTGATTTCCATGAAGGCTTTCCATAGTGACTGACGGTCATAGGTGACTACTATCAGGTTCTGTCTCAACTTTTCACATTCACAGGCAGAGGCTCCAAAAATAAATTACAGGCAAGCTTAAAAGATCGGAAAGGCTTTCCCAGCATGCGAGTGGGTGATTCGTTTGATTCGTGTCTGTTACAGTCATTGTGTCTTTCTCTGGGCTTCTTTCTGTTTCTGAAACACAAAACACCCTCTTTCTGTCCTTAGGGATCACGCTAATTATGTTTTTACTCTGAAACGGGTTTTAGGATTGAAGGGTCATGTCGAAGGGTGATAATTCTATTTCAGTTAGACAAGAGCCTGAAAAAAAAAATTCTTTTAAATAAGTTTCAGTTTGTGCATTTTTACAAAAAAAAGAGCAAAAGGTATGCATGTATGTTTGTTTTTACATTCTTCTTTATTTTTGTCTTTTTATTTTGCTTTTTAATGAGTCATTAGCATTGGAAGATGAAAAATAATTTTTCTCTAGCCAAGAAATATTGCAGGTATTACACATTCTCCTACATCAAAGCAAAGGCTCTCCAAGCCCCTTTATAAGTGAAAAGAGTTTTTAGCAGGTTGGAAGAAAAAAAAACACTTGCTCCTGGGATGATAAAAAGCCATTTTTCACAGCAAAATTATTAAATTAGCTATAAGGAGCTGGAGTTTTTATTTGGCATTCCTTCTCACCTCACCCCAGTCTTCATCTCTCACTGCATTTTTGTGGAAGGGTTATAGATGTACTCTAAATCGCTGACTTACCATGCAGACGGTAGTTGATCTCCAAATTCCCTGTGAGCAAAGATGATTGCAGTCTCCCTACTAATAAGTACACTTCAGTTCTACGAAATTTATACTTAAAACAATGGAAAATGTGGCGCAAACACATTGTAATATTTATGCAGATACGTTGACTCACTGTTACTTAGGTGTCAATGAATTCTTCAGGGCTCAAGACGGGGATAAACATTCAGGGAGGTAACTGCACTCATTCTTTATCCATTTGTGTTATTTGGGGTTTTACTTGTTTTTTTTATTTTTACTTTTCTCTCATATGAGAAGTGTTCAGATGACAGCACATCCAACAACAAAATTCAGCCCCCTATCCTATAGAAATGTCCTCTCTTACACTGTTTTGTTAGTTGTGACATATTTCTTTGTAACCTAAAAATAACTGGGAATTGGCTTTGTATTTATTCTACTCTCTCACTCACTCATTTTATTTATTTATTTACCTG